ATTGGCACTTTAAGACCTGCAACAACAGTTACGAGGTTGGTGAATCTTTGTGACTGTTGGCAATTCTGAGCACCTCCGAGGCCTCAAAAACGAGGACAAAACTACGGGGATTGTGGCCTGGACACCCACCATCCATGTGATTGTTCACGCCTTGAGAGGCCTGGGCGGGGGGTTGGGGAACCATACCATGGGGGTGGGTACCGTAACCATTTGTATATGTAGAGTATACATATATATACATATAATATGCAGTTTAGGGTGGTGGCATTTTCTAGTCCGAGGCCCAAGAGCCTTCCAGAAGGTGCGGTTGTGGTCACGGTGAGTCTGGAGCACAATTTCTGCGTTGTGAAGAGTGGCTGAGCATGCTTTTCATGTGCTAAGGCCATGACGTGGATCTACTGAAGCCAGTTCATGATGCACACTACACCTACGACCCTGAGTCTGCCAGCTGGAAGTTGGAGTAGGCCGCGTCCTTGACATTTGGTATACCAAGCTCCATGCGTGGGCAAGGTGGCTTAAATCCTTTGGAATTTCAATCCAGGCAAAACTTCAAGGAAAGCCCTTCAGATTGCGACCTGCAAGATGTGTTTCACGCTCCTGCACTGCCGACGCGGCGATGGCACAAAAGGACCGCATACTTTCTTCTGCGCATTCCAGACGAGAGCAAGCTTGACTTAAACAAATTGTCATCCAATCACCTACTATATCAAATTCTCCTGCGCATCCCATGCGATTGGGACGGTGTCTGCGTGCATTCTGTAATTGACCTGCCCATCTCATTCGTTTTAGGCCGAAGTGTGCCGATGATGCTGGCTGAGAAAATGTCCCAGGATCTAGTGAAGCACATCCCGAAACGCGTCCGCTGGCGGGATTTCCCAAATTTTGATCACATGATGGAGTTAGCGTTGCTATGCCGACTTGCTGATAGAAAGCTCAGTGGTGTGGGACAAGCAACATCCCACTTGAGATTTCATGTTCCTTGTTGAACCCCTTTGTACCAAAATCTTCCAGCAACTTACTAACACGGATGAAGCCGCATATAATGCTAATGTCAAAGCGCAGTGTATCAACTCGCGCGTGTCAGCGGTACGGGGACTCCACGGTATGGGGCCAGAAGCGGAGACGCAAAGAGACCCATGATGTGTCTCTTGGGGTTAGCATCATCAACATTCCCGGGCGCCTGCAGCTGAGCCTGGGGATCTGCGTAGCCAGAAGAAGAGTCAGGTGACCGTTCCCCTTACAATCGGGCTGGCTGAAGGAGATTGCTAGGGCCAGGGGGCCAAAGCCTGCAGCAGAGGCTGCAGAAGTCGTGAGGGAAAATGGGGAAAGTGAGCGGGGGGAACTCAGATAGGGCTACATGCAGTGAATTCGTCAAGTACGAGAGGCAGAGATGCTTATGTTGAGCATCCTCAGCGTGCCTGTCGTGGGCGTTCGTGGGCTTCATAGCAGTGAATCGCGGCAATTTTCATTGCTCACATTATTCAGAACTTAACTGAGAAACATTTTCTCTGATTCCCATGAACCTTTTTTCAGCACATCCCAGAATAAAGATTCCGCTACATGTGAGCCTACCCTATAGTCCTTCATTTATGGAGCCATGTCGCTTTCTGTGTCTTCTAGGTGCTCATGCGTTGGTGGAGCGGATCCGAGCAGCGCTTCGGGCGAGAGGGCCCGCTGCAGTGCAGCTCCTGTGCCAGAGGCGCAGGGCAGACCATGATTATTCTTAAGATTTAATGGGAGGGATTGTAGAAAACACGATCCCTTTTTGATTACCTCTAAATCTTAGGGTATCTTGGCTGCGTGAGACGTATGATCTCCTTCTTTGTAGTAGGAGTCGCTGTATGCTGAGGTGTCCTGGGGCGATTGATTTGGATTCACCGATGCTTTTTTATATTGTGATCTTTTGTTTGCGCCAACGAAGGTGTTGCAGCACAGGCTGGCCCCGCCAGATCCCTAATACCCTGCTCCGCGTCAGTGGGACTGCCCATACCAGTAAAAGAGACTCCTGTGCTGCGAAGGCACAGCTTGCAGGCGTAGCATCAGCAGCGAGTGCAACGCATTGCGCAGAACCGCGTCGGTCTGTGGCTGCTGCGACAGACCCTTCACGGGTATGGGGGCGACGGCTTAAAGCGACCTGGAAACATGGACAGCCTTTGCTGTTTTTATGTGTGCGTGCCTCACATCGCTTCAGCTGCAGCGCACCCAGCCCTACATCTGGGAGTGAGCTTTGAGAGCGCAGCCCTGTCGAAGCAAAGCCTCATTCCGTTTGCGCCTGATACTTTCGCCGGTAAAGTGTGTTGAAGCCTGTGCTTGCAATTTTCCTGGAAAGGACCTGGGTGTTTTTGGGGTTGCTCGGCTTTCCAGGCTGAAAAGAACGCGCGTCATCTTCTTGCAGTCTTTCAGGGCTGAGAGTTTCCGGGCGGGCATGTTGGAGGGCCTCATTTGGGCATTGGAATCGGGGCTCGGGAGCCGGAGACCAGCTAGGAAGCGTGCCTGGTCAACAGAGCGTTTTGGAACAAAAGGAGGTTCCCACAGAGGGGTGGACATGTGGCACACGGAGCGAAGGGAAGCGAGGTGGCGGGAGAGTGGGCGACTTGAGGGCTTGTATTCCATTCAGAATCAGGAAAGAGCGGGACATGATGGGCTTCGGGCTCTGAGGGAAGAATACTGGAAGAATTGGTAAGAGGAAGAAAAAGCTGTGTGAGGTCAGGCCAGGGTCAGCGGCTTTTCGATTTGTATTCAAAGTGTACAGCCTTCTCAGCTTCAGTGCTTCTGCGCTACTTGCAAACGTTGCTCGTAGCACTTGCATTCTTGCGGTGGCAATTAGTTTCAATTATTTCTTTGCACTTGGGAGGGTTGCTACTGTCGTAGTTGCAGTTGCCATCATAGTTTTTTTTGGAGAAGCTGACTGACCCGCTGGCAGGTTTCAGACTGCGGAGCAGGGGCAGCGTGTCATGCGAGCAAAGGAGCTTCGGGGCCTTGTGGGGTTGTAAAACAATCCCCCTCCTCACAATTTAGTCTTGCCTCCAGAGAAGGGTGCTGGAAGCCCAACAAGCAGTAGAAGAAAAAAATAATGATGACGTGGATTTTGGCTTCGGTTTCTCTGCATTGTCAACCTACTATAACCAAGTAAATCCTACCGTAACCTACCATAACCTACTACAATCTATGTTGGTGTGAATTTACAAGTTCATTAGAATCCATTATAGTCCACTATGACCTACTGTAATCTACTATGGTCTGAAGTATCGTACTAAAACCTGCTATAATCTACTATACTGCACTAATCTACCTTAATCTACTGTAATCTACCCCAACCTACCATAATCTACTGTCCATCATGTACTATAACTACTATTATCTACGGTAACATACTGAAAGCTACTAATTATGATCCACTCTCATCTACCATAATCTACGACCATCTACTATAGTCAGGGATAAAATGTACACTTCATTTTGCCTGGCAACGCACGCCTGGACAGCGATACTTGCTAGGCAACACCGAACACATGTCATCGTTGAAATTTCAATGAATCAGGAGTTGAGGTTTCTGGGCGATGTGGGTGTCAAAGGCACCGGAGGTGAAGACTTTGCAACATGCTCCGCTCAAGTGATGCGAAAACAGGTCGGCATGTC